GCACTATTTACAACAGCCAAGATATGGAAGCAACCTAAGTGTCCATCAGTAGATGAATGGATAAAGATGTGGCAATATACACAATGGAATATTACTCAGCCATAAAAAGAAAACAAATCCTACCATTTGCAACATGGATGGAGTTACAGGGTATTATGCTCAGTGAAATAAGACAAAGACTAAGACAAGTACTAAATGGTTTCACTCATTTGTGGAGTATAACAAAGCAAAACTGAATGAACAAAACAGCAGCAGACTCAGACTCCAAAAAGGGACTAGCAGTTACCAAAGGGGAGGAGTGGGTGTGGGCAGGTTGCGGGGGGAAGGGAGAAGGGGATTAAGGGGCACTGTAATTCACAAATCACAATATATGTAGGTGGTGAGGAAGGCAGTACAGCACTGAGAAGTAATGACTCTAGCATTTACTATGCTGATGGGCAGTGATTGCAGTGGGGTGTGTGGGGAGACTTGCTAATATGGGTCAATGTTGAAACCCCAATGTTGTTCATGTGAAACCTTCGTAGGATTGCATGTCAATGACACTTTAAAAAAAGTAGAGATTTTTTTAACTAGAAGACCTTAGGTAAGTGCAACAAATTTTCAATTTTTCTTACTTTTTATAGCATCAAAAACCTTCAAAATGGGGTCATAGACCTGTATTATTCAGTTTGCTTTTTGTGCACCAGGCACACAGGGAACCTCTTAACCAGGATCCATTTTGCCTTCAGAGACAAGAAAAAAATCCATTGAAATTAGCTGCCAAAACCAATTTAGAAGGTGGTACCAATCACATATTCTAGGTTGTTTGGGAAGCACATACTTATTAAAAAATGTTCATTATCTATACCTCACGTCCCAAGTTCTCTCCAAGTATTCCAGGCATTGTGTTCTCAGCAGTGCTCACGAACCTTCCGCAAGACAAAGCAGAGCACTGAGGCTCAACAAGCGGTATTTATTGGAGCCTTGCAGAGAATTCCATTACCCAATACATCAACTATTTATATTCTAAGTGATTAGGTTAGATCCCTTGCTTAGGGGTTTTGAAGTCTTCATCTAAAGCTAGATCTTTCCCGTTTTTATTCATGGTTTCTTTTCCCCACAGAGCAACCTCACCCACAACCCCCAGTTGAATCAGCTACCAACTCTACCTGTTTGAAGGTAGTTACAAATATGGACTGGGGTAAGGCTAGAAAAAATCCTGTTTGATTTAACTTTTAAATATTTAGTACATATTTCTTAACATTTCCGAAGTCTGTCATCTGCAAAGGCCTAGAAACAAAGACATCCAAGGAACAATCACGCCCTGCCCCCAGACCATTTCTCAGTATCATTGTCCACTGAAAGGAACCAGGGATCCTTGGAGAAATAGCCAACTTCAGGGCTGGACAGGAAAAGTCTTGAGACGAGACCAGAAAATCTTTTTGAGCTATAACGTATATGGTGCATGCAGCGCTCAGATGATGCAGGTATTACCAAATGCTCACAGTAATCAGCTTGAAAAGGTACCACTGGCTAAGCTGAGATCAAACCAAAATGAACCATGCTTACATAGATTTACCCATTTCAATTAACTACACTGGGATTGTGTAAGAATGTCTTCATACAAGAGAGCATTTGGGAGTAAAAGGGGACATGGTCTGCAACTCTTGTCAAGTAGTTTAGGAAGTGTACATCTGACCCTTGAACATGAACTGCATAAGTCCATGTATACAGGTTTTTTCAATAAATGGAAAACATTTGAGATTTCTTACAACTTGAAAAACTATTTTGTCTAGCTTGAATACTGTACACAATATATATATGTAGTGATACAGAAGTAACATATGTAAAAAATATATACATATATATATACTATATATATATATACAAATCAACTGTATGTTATTGGTAAGGCTTCTTCTGGTCAATAGTAGGCTATTTAGTAAAACTTTTGAGTCAGTTACTTGTGGATATTCAACTACATGAGGAATCACTGACCCTAACCCCCACATTGTTTATTCAGAGTCAACTGTATATGCACGCGTTAAGTATATGCAGCAAAATCAGTAAATGGTGATTTGAGTGGAAATATACAGGACCTCACACTATTACTTCAGAGTTAAAGAAAAGTTGCACTATTGCCGGACACTCCTCCCAAAAAACTTGAAATGTGACTGAAAGGATTCCTTGCAGATAAACTTGAATCCATTAAAAAATTATAATAACAATTACCCCTTACTTGACAGGTTAGCCTTCTTTAGACCTGGCCTCTACCTACCTGAGGCCTCTAACTCAAATGTTCTTATATTCAAACAACTCTAAGGCTATCACATCTTAGTTTAAAAACGACCTTCATGTAAAATGTGGTACATACACACAATGGAGTATTATTCAGCCATAAGAAACAAATCCTACCATTTGCAACATGGATGGAGCTAGAGGGTATTATGCTCAGTGAAATAAGCCAGGCAGAGAAAGACAAGTACCAAATGATTTCCCTCATTTGTGGAGTGTTAACAACTAAGCAAAACTGTGAAGGAACAAAAACAGCAGCAGACTCAGATTCCAAAAAGGGACTGGCAGTTACCAAAAGGGAGGGAGGGGAGGAGTGGGAGGGCGGGGAGGCAGGGATTGAGGGGTATTATGATTGGCACACATGGTGTGGGGGCATCATGGTTAAGCCAGTGTAGCACAGAGCAGTAGTGACTGTGGCATCTTACTACACTGATGGACAGTGACTTCAATGGAGAATGGGGGGACCTTGGTAATAGGGGTGAATGTAGTAACCAGAATGTTTTTTATGTGAAACCTTCATAAGAGTGTGTATTAACACCTTCATAGAAAAGTAAAAAATAAAAATAAATGAAGTTACCTTCATGTAAAGTTACCCTCACTTGAAATAATCCCAATAGGCTGCTTTGAATTTAAACCCTTCAAAAGGATTTTATGGCTAAATCTCCCATGGATTAGCCCCCTTGTATCTTCTTCATTCTTTCAACGCCTTCAATGGGCCCTGGGTTGCCCACTTGAGTATCTTCCCTGAACTGCTCTCTGCTCAGAGGCTCCTGCCCTCACTACACAAATTCCTACACACCCTTGAAATCCCAGCTAAAAGCGCTCAAGTTTTTAGTATTTCAGCAAGAATTATTTGACTACTCCATTAAGAGTTTATCAATGCCTAACTTCATTATTGTAAAGTTATGAATATTAATACCATTAACTTGTGATGTCTGTCAACTTCTGGCACTTACATTTTTTTATCACTTACCCTCAGGTTCCTTCTTGTTTTTAAATTTAAAATACATTAAGAACTAAAAAGTACTGCTTTTATGTAAAGCAACATTTTATCCTGAGTTTTAAAATAATAAAAGTTCAATAACTGTGATCTACAAAAGCTACAAGCTCTCAAATTCCAATATGATTAAGCAGCTAGCTGGGTCTTACTTTCTGATGGCAATTTATTATTTCTAAATTGTTATGTTCCATTTCTCATTCATATTTAAGAAAATCAGTCAACACCTTAACTTTTTTTCAAATGAAAAACCTGAAAGTACAGTATGATGTTAAATGGAAGGAATACAAGATGCAAAGTATACTGTTTTTTTTTAAAAGTATAATTAACTGCATATACCCAGTTTTCCCTGGACAAACACTTACTCCTCAGTAATTTCACACTCCAGGGAAGGTGCTCCCATTCCTGTAACTGATCCCTCGTCAGTCTAAGAACTTGGCTTTTTATCCAAGTTATATTCCAATATCTGGATTTTTAAACCTTTGTATAAAATCACCACTACCCATTTAAAATTAACCTCAGCTAACTACCACCATTACCATTCACATTTACTTTTCAACTACTGAGACTTTGTGCTTTAAAATGGCATATTAACTAAATTATGAAGATATATTTCAAAACAAAATCCAGCTCACAATTACAAAGTATACACACAGTGTGGAAAACAAAAAATAAATTAGTGCATTTCTTTACTAAGATTCTTATAAAGAACTTTTAAACTATCCATTTAGTCTGTACATACATTTCAAGTAACATTTGGCTTGACTTAAAGTCAAATAAAAGGCTAAGCTTTTTATAAGACTAATCCATTAAGATGGACTCAAACTCTAAATCAAGCCCTGAAACCAAGCACTCAAATATTTGAATATTAAATAGTTTAATATTTCTGCATGGTATAAGGTTTTCAAAGAGTAACTCCAAGTTTTATTTTTAACTATGGGAATGGCCCACACTTGGATAAACTCACAAATTAGTAGTCTTTTAACAAGCAGCAGTAGTAGGAACACTTAATATTTATTGTAGAGCCCTTGCCATACCAATCAGTATCATTAACCTATTCACAGAATTAACTAAATCACAGAATGTCTCCTTTTGTTTTATTTGTTCTTAAATGAGCTAAAGGAAACAGAGGTAGAATCCCATTTTCTTAAGTACTACTTATAAGCCAATCCCACACATTAAGGTATTTTTATGTCACAGAAACACTAATACTGCTTCTTCAGTGAAGTAGGTAAAAGAATTCTGAGAAATTACATAAATTTTAACTTTAAGAAATCCATGTTATACTAAAAACTAGTCAACTTATGGAACTATTGTCTACTTACAGACTTGACCATAAAATGACAGTCACCAAAATTTTTTTCAAAGCATTACTTTATAGGTGATTTTATGGTATTTTACCATTTCTAGAAGGAAAAAATATTCCTTGGTAACCAGTGCCTGAGCTGGAGGTAACTATAGTCTAACATGCAAAGACAAAACCTGAAGCATCTCAAGAATGTCTGTAGTTAACTCATAGTAATATCTGTATTACTGTGAAACTCCTTTCTTTCTAGTCTTCCAGTAACAAACTCCATGCAGCAGGGCTTGGCTTGGAAGGTTGCTCTGAAAAATACAAACAGGCCATCATAGCCTGAAGCACAGAATGCCTACTCTAAACATCTTTACTCCCTGCTCTTCCAAAAAAGTATATATATTTTTTAAAAACACCCAAAATATCACCAGTACATTTTATAAAATAAAATGCAAATTTTATTAAGGATTTCAAATTACATATTTCAAATTTCTAGAATGGAATAGAACTATTTTAGAACTGGAGACATGGCATAAATGAACACTGATAATTCCTCAAAGCTCCAAAGAAACAATTCCTCTGCAAACCACATCCCCCTTATATAACAAGACGAAATATCTACCCCTTCCACTTTGGCAATAGCTATTTCCTAAAGGAATGGGAAAAAAAAAACAGTAGTGGTTTTACTACTTAAGTTCATTAAAAATGGGATTCTATCTTTAGATTAATATTTTTTTAGTTTAGAAAAAGCTGTGTTCACATGAGCTATGGGCCAAAAAGCAAAAAACAAAATCGGCACAGAATGTCTAACCAAAGCAACCAAAACCATTTTGGAAATAAAGAGGAAAAATATGAGGTGTTTTCATGGCACTGTTTTCCTATAAACTTTTACAATTGGTTAAGGATTTCCAGTAGTTTGAATTAAAATCTCAGGAGAGAAATGGATAGTACTACTACACAAATAACAAAATGTGTTCACATCTAAGACCCTAATATTCAGTTTTCAAAATGGAAGCTCTACGACCTCCAAGAATGGACTCAATGTAACTTTATTAAGAGCAGAAACTCTGGGCCATAGTTCACACTCACTGTCAAAGCTTTTAAGTTCACCACAAAAAAATTAACAGTAATTAGCCTGAGGTATTTTAAATGTGGCTCTGCAGTCTCAAATTCAATAACATTTTTCTCCCCTAAATATGGGTCTTATTTCTACTTTAATACCCTGATCTCTGCAGTATTTACAACAAGATGGTCACAACTAAAATACCTGGAAATAATCCTTAGATCTTTTGAAATAGTTGCTCATCCATCACCCCTATTATAAAACTGGAGCCACACAAAGAACTTCGAGTGTTGCTGATCAGATCCAGAACCTGTATTTCCCAGTTTCATTATCAAACTCTGGTAATGCTGAAAGGCATACTTTTGGTACATACTAACCCAATTTTTGAGCTTTTAATTAGATTGAAACATTTCAGAAAATTTAACTTAATATGCCTTAACACATCTGTGAGGTAGTTAAGTAAACAGTACTACCCATTGTAATACACAGTAAACAGAAGCACAGGTAAATGATATACTTATACTTTAAGCAATAAAAGTGGAAATTAACCATAGAGGCTTGGGACCTTCACTCACTATAGCTCTAACCAAAGGAGATAAAATTTAACATTGAATATTTCTCTTCAAAACACATCATTTAAGATTCTGTCATTCTTTTTTAGTTTCTTATTAGTAACTGCAGTACCTCTTCCTAAGTTGGCACCCTTTCTTTCTTCAATATGGTAAACTGGGTACAACAATTCAAGCTAGGCTTTTGCTTCTATCTGCTTTAGTACAAAATTAAGATATTACCTATGAGAACTAAATATTATATTTGACATTTTTATTTTAGACTGAAAAAACAAAAACAGGCAAACAGCAAAAAACTTGAATATGCTTGTCAAATGACGTAAAATTCATCCTTTCCAGGGAAGCAGAAGGTAGACCCTACCACAAAGAAAAGACGCTAAATTAATGAAGGCTAAATTTAAAAGTACAGTTAAAATAGTGAGGCTTAACTTCTGAAAAGACCAGGTTTTATTCACCTCCCTGTGGTAATCAATAACCATACCATGAATTAGGTTTCTTTATAGTTAAACTATATCACCTAAAATAAAAAAATCTCTTTTTAACAATCTAAGTTACCAGATATGGTCTTACTGGAAATTCTTAACCATATAACTGTCTTAACAAGTTTCTATTTTTTCAATGATGAAGTATCTTTTAGTATAAGTCACTGCATTTCTATAACAAAGTAATGAAAGGCACACGAGTGCAAGCAAACTTAAACCCATTCAACTATCAGCTAAAATAATACTTTGGTTCTTCAGGAAAAAGATTAGCAAAACAAAAAGTTTCATTCAACACTTCTGTTCATTTTCACAGCTGTAATCTAACAGTTGCATGATAAAAAGTACTCAGAAGAACCAAACTATGTAGCAATGAAATGAGCATGCATGAGAGAATCTGTGCATTCAAGGTTTCTGGCAGAAAAACTATAGTTAAAATGCTAGGTAGAACAAACTGGTCTTTAAAATTTTAGTTCCTTTCCTTTAAAAAAAAATGAGTCTACCAAGAAAATACAAAAACATAAGGCTGTAAGTAAATAATAGCTGTGTTTAGGCTATTACAGTGCAGGCTGTCCTCAAGGCCACCCATCCTGCTTCACTGCTGCTTGCACTCTGCGGGGTTGTGATCCTTCTGTTAAAGGAGAATAACACGTCAATCCACCTTTTTCTATGTGTTTCAGTTAATTTTTCAACAACAATTAACTACCTTAATTACCATATTAAGCCATTCTATCAAAATTTTTGCCTAATTAGAGAAATAGTATAGCAATGATGGGAAATTATGCATGTTATCAACTCACAAAAATGCTAAAATAAAGCCCAAATTTTACAAAGTATGAGCTCCATAAAATGAAACCACAAGCCACCATCTTAGAAAATAATCAAGCAATGTACAGTAGTCCTATTACCCATTATTTCTGCCTTTCCACTGATCAGTTATTTGAAATTACTAATCTATTCATATTTAGCTGTTAAAGAGTAATTCATATTATTAAGACTAACGAGTTTTAACTATCCTCTATTACGGGCTCAGTAGGTTAAAAGAATCTTCTGGGTAAAAATATCCATAATCCAGCATAATGCATTAAAGAGAAGCCAGAAGTTTCAAATGAACCCTAATAATGTGTGAACAGACTGGGTCTCTCAGAGATGAAGAGCTGCTTGGGAGACTATAAAGAACAGTACTGCTCCCCTATTCCCGAGCACTCCTATATTCAGATGACTTACTAAAAAACTTAACCTCTGCTTACAAGGTTTCCTATGGAGGAAAAACAACATGGTAAAGAATAAAGAACCCAACATGCTTTTATAAAATTGGGGGAAAAAAAAGCCCCAAGATAATGTATCATTAAAAGAGAAGCCTAGGATGTACTTAGCATGAAACTAGGAAAAATATGTGGTCAGAACAAAAATAAAAATTTCTTAGGCAAGGTATTCTGAAATTACATGTACTACTGAAAGCCAGTAAGGATCAAAAAAGGAAAAAACAATATATATATGCATGTACATATGTACATGCATATGTATGTGTGTATGTATTTATCTCCAGTTCTTACTGAAGATTTTAATGGACAAAAATGAGCTTTATATTCAGAAGCACCAACTCTTATTTAACCTGTCTTAAACTGAATAGAAAGCAGCACTGATTTTGCTCACCTTTGGGTCATAGTCTGGATCATTTTCTTCATCTCCTTCTTCTTCCCCTTCCTATATTAAAGTTCAAAATGCATCCATGAAGTAAGTAAATAGTAGGGAGAAATGGCTCATAATGTAGGGAGAATTTATTACAAGTTACTCTATGGGTCAACAGACTTTCATGATTACAGAGTTTGGTGACAATGCAATTTAATTTGAAAGCTTCTAATATGAAAAATTTCCCAACACAACTTGAGACATCCAGACAGCTTTTATTGAAAAGATTTACTGCAGCCAACGTTGAAAAAGTTTACTGCAGCTTTTGACTTCTTCAAAGAGCTGATAACCCTGCAGCAGAACAGAATTATTTGAAATAAAAAAATTGTTCTGAGTTTTGCAATTTATTTATTGAAACCTTATACATACATTGTTTGGCTGTAGAATTCTAAAATCATATTTTTTTCCAAAAATGTTATCCCATATCACAGAATAATGATTATAGCAAAGGAATACATAAGTCACTCAATTTGCTTCTCAATGTGTTAAACAGAGAACTATTTGCTCATTTGGTAAACATTACCTCATCCGCTTCTTCACCTTCTTCATCATACTAAAAAGGGAAAAAAAAAATGAAGTTTGACTGAAGCTAACAAATATTTGAGAATAGCATTAGTTATATCCACCCTCGTATCCTCTATTACCTTAAGAGGAACAGTACTTTTCCTCCAGTGACTGATCAATAAACAACTGAGGCAATCAGTGCAGTATCATGGTCTAAACCCAGCAATTTAAACCATTAATACAATAATATAATCTTGGATGAAGTGTGATCAGAAAATTATTAGTCTTAAGTACTATTATCTGCCTATAGTTATATGTGGAATACAATTCATGACAAGGACCTAGAGCCTACTTGAATGATTGTCATTTAGCAATGAAGATATCCAATTTCTGAGGGTTACCTAATTTTGTCTTGTTACTTAATATTCCTCTGGATTCAAATTCTATGCTTCCCATAATAAATATTGTTATGTAAGCACTAAAATACATTCCAAGTGTGTTTTGTTTGGTCAAAGACCAAACAGGTAGTAGATCAACAACAGTTAATCAAACCTGTGAAGTTACACTAATTCAGAGTGCTCTTCCTATTAGCCTGAAAATAAAGACTACTACAATTGAACCCAAAGATTTTAGAAGGACCTATTTAAGACAATTCAGCAAAGTTATCTACAGGACATCAACAATTAAACTAATTTTGAATTATTCCATCTTGCTTTTTAGAAATCACATCTACTCATTACATTAAACCTCTCCTGAGTTCTGACTTCCAAACCCTCACCCAAGCAATTCCACTGCAGGGCCCAGACTCACATCATCATCATCATCTTCAATAGCTTCCCCAGTGAAGTATAACACTGATCTTGGAATTATACGCTCACGTAAAAAGTGACCAATTTCAAAGTCTGCAGCAAGGATAGCTTCAGCATCATCATCCTTATTAAGAAAACGAAAATCTGATTACTTTATTTAATTTGGTATATGCAAGACTCTTGAGTTTAAATCGTATGAAGAAACTCTCAGCTTCACTTTTAACTGTCACTTTTAAAATTAGCTTACAAATGTGATGAGTTATCTACACATGGTCTAGGTTTACAAGCTTTTAATAAAAATTGTTTAAAAGTTATTTAGCAGGCACGCATACACAGAAATTTTGGGAAATAAAAATTAGAACTCATTGCTTAGTTTTTTTCTGGCTTAAAGTTAAAATATAGAAGCAACTGTTACATTACTGCAATTTTCCTTTTAAAATATTAACTATTGAAAATTCTATATAGAATATTACTAAGAATCTCTGGTTTTATAACATTAAGTATATGGCACATAATGTAAGACCCCAAAGGATCACTTCACACTCCCTAAGGCAGTACCCAAGCAGGTATATAACACCAAATGAGGAGACAGAGTCCTATTTGATCCTAAAGACTAAGTCAATCTATTTAAATTGTTATACTAAACAATGTGTTAACATTTTGTGAATTCCATGAATGTTTACTGATTAATCAACATAATCTACTCTAAAACAATAATAAAAGAACACAAAAAGGGGGAGTGGACTTTGAAGGAAATAATTCTAATTACAGGTGGAGGTGGTCTATCAGTAACCACTTAAGACTTTCAGTTCCATGAACATGTTAACAGACAAAAAACAAACAGAAAAACCCACTTGAACACAAGCTCCAAATCCTCACACCTTTTGACAACAGAATAGCATGAATCTCTATTATTTATGCTCAGAACTTCTTTCTTTTACCTAAATTCACATGCTGCTTTCTAATCTCCATTTCTGTCCTATAAAAGACCTTCTAAGCCAAGCCAGTTACTACTCTTTACAGGCAGAAATAGATGCCTTTTGCAGATTTGGTATCTAGGCCTCAGCCAAAACTACTCTCAAGTATTCAAAATGAAAAATTTCTAATTCCATATTTATCAAACAATTTAAACTACCTCAGTTAATTTCAAGAACGTGGTCAACAGAAAACCAAATTCAAAACATACCTAACCTACCCTGCCTACATAGATTTCTCTGAGGTGGTTGTTCCTCATTCCAGGCTATCTGCCAGGCACAGTCACAGGTCTTGGCTCTATGGCTACAATATGAAACCATACTTCCACTGGTATAACAAATACAGAAAGAGTTGTAGTCAGAATGTGGTTAGAGTTTAGAAAATAGTATAAATGGCTCAGTACAATCTAATTTCAATGAGGGAGGAAACCCAAATAGTACTGAGAATTTGAATTCCCCTTAAAGCAATATTTCCAAGTCTCCAAAAAAATGAAAATCTGTAGCCTCCCAGCATTTCTGTAAGCATTATGAATGAAACAATTTCAAATGCAAAAAGGTCTTCACGTTGCATGCCTCAGAACAAAATGTTAAAGCAGCCAACTGTCCCACTCCTCACTTTTGAGGACTAGTCTTTTAATGTTATATACAGTGAACAGTTCAACAAATAAATTTAACTTACCAGATCTCCACTCTCAGGAACTGCAAAATTGAGAAAAGAAATTCAAATGAATAAAAAAATTAATCAAAGCCTATAATAAAACAACCCTTAATAACCAAACCAAAACACTATTTACCTTCAGGAGGGGCAAAAAAATTGAAGAAAGAGTCATTGGAAACTGTTTTAGTCACAGTACGAACTGTCCCACGTCCCTTGTGTTTTTGCTTCTTCTTAATGGTTTTCAATGTGACGTTCTTTCCTTTTTTCCAATCTATCTGGCACCTTCCAAAACAAAGGGAAAAAATCTATCACAACAGATTACTTTCAATTACTAGGAGAGTTGAGATTTTTTCCAATTAAATATATTTAGATTTCAACTTTTAGAGGGAAAAGCTGGTTCAAGTGCTTTCTGTAGCAGTATAAAGAAAAATATTTTATTTAAATTTTTTCAATAAATATTCACATTGAGCACAAACTCACAATATAATAAATTTAAATGTGCAATCTTCCTTTGGAGAAGTATCGGTACAACTATGGGCCAAGAAGTCAAGGTAAAAAATTAAGCTATTCTCAAAAAACATTTTATTGAAATGTTTGGTGATAAACTATGAGTGTATATGTATACATATCAAGCATATGCTAGTAAATACCAAGTATCACAAATGATTAAGTACAACAAAAACAACTTTGACATCCTGTTAAAGTAGAATTAAACTCACCCTGTACAACCCATAATTTCTGGTCCATCAAAAGAAAAGGGATCAGCATCATCTGGTTCTGACCTCATCCTGTATGTCTTTGTCAACACTTCATTTGTGAAATATTCATTGGGTTCAAAGTGAAACTCTAAGACAAAACTCTTAAAAAATATAAAAATTAGTTAAGTTCCTATATCAATTTCAGTGCCTTAGTAAATAAAACAATCTGTGATTTTCATAAATAAAAAATTCTAAGTGACGTTTTTCCTACTTTGGGAAAGGGTCAGATAAATCCCAAATTACGTTAAAAGCAAAACAAGGCACAAAATAAACTGAATAAAATGTAATTCAGCTTACAACTATTTAGTAACATGTTTACAAACAGGTAAGGCACACCTGAAGAAACTGCCAAGCCCTCTTCCCTCAATCCCCAAAGAGAAATTTAAATCTTAGATCAAAACCTAAGCTTGACAGATAAAATGCCCAACCTTACTACATGCAATAGAAGAATCTATAGCATATTTATAAGCTTTGCCCAAACTTCACATAATACTGACTATTCTGTTGGGGGAGAATCTGTTGGCCTATCTTTATCTTTTGTAATAGGAAAGTGCAGGGAGACAGGGCCCTCTAACAGTCTTGTTTTGTATAATTCCCAGACATGTGCCTTTTAATACACAATCAGTATTTTCTTTTATGTTATCTAGGATCAAGGGCTGACTACATTTCAAAAATAGTTTTATGTCTAAAGGGAGAAAAAGGAATACTGAGTCACCATCATCAACATCCAATTTCTTCTCATTCCATCTCTAAACCTTCAATATTACCTTTTTTACAAAGTTCCATTTATCTACCTATAAACATCTAATGTTACAAATTGGATATATTTCAAAGTTCTTTTACCATAGGCTGACCAGCATCTGAGAACTTCACTTTAATATCTTTCAAGTGCTTCAGTATGGGTTCATCATGTTCCTTCAAATTAAAAAAAATATTAAAAATGAGTAACAGCATTTTAGGATTAGTGTTCTATTACTGGACAATAAACACTTAGTGGAGACATTTTATAGTGAGATTTTCTACAACAATTGTTAGCCATAAGACTTACTGTCCAGATTATATCTTATACTGAAGCTAGTTTATTTAGTTCTACTTTCTTCTGCCAGTGGTAGAAAATAAGTGACTAAATAGGTAATACACCACTAAATAGACTCTAAGAGCTTTCCCTTCTGCTTGATCTCCTTTGCTAAAGGAGAAATACAAGAGTTACTGTTTTGAAATCTTCACATTAACTTCCAACACTCAAACTATATGTAAGGCAACAAAAATACTACAATGTAGGTGGTCAGAGGCTCAGATGTTTCTACTAGGAGAGGTAAAGTTTCTTAGAAAAAGTGACAGCTGTGTCAGTTCCCCAGAGAAACTGACACCTGTGAGAGTGAAACATCTTTGTAGTATTCCTTTAAAATGCAAAGCTTCCTTGAAATAGTTTCAGACTGAAAAGGTCTTTTGAGTTAAGATAACTGAAACTGTTAAAACTATCCTACCTCCTTAACAAGGAATCTAACAACAACAAAGGGCTGTGAGAAAGCACCAGTCAATGATGAGCAATTATCAAAGGAACCACTTCATTACCTAATTTTTGAAAATAAATCATAATCTATTGATTATATTAATCAAAGCTGCAATTTTCCTTCTACAGATAACAAGTGTTCAAAAGAAAGCTATTATTCTATCAAGGTCCACAATGAAGAAACTGGTCATCACAGCCATTTAAATTTCAAAGACTTATCCTTTGAGGTAAATTGATATTTTTAATATTACCTGAACCATATCACTGAGCAGGTCGACATTCTTAAAAACAGTCAACCAAAATTCAGGAATTCCCTTGGGGTCTTCTTTCTCTTCATCCTTTTTCTCATCTTCAATCTTGGCCTTTTCTTTCAGCTCCTCCTTGGTAAATGACAGCATTCATTACTGACATCTGTATTAGACCAGCCCTCCTGATAAAAGCTTACCCATCCCTTAACTTACATGCAGTATACAGAAACCAACAAGCCCTCGATGGCCAATTATAACTTTCAGCCAAGTAAGTCCTAGTCAGATTGTGTCAGCACTGCTCTTACCCACACCAAACTCTACTTCTATAAATATTGCTACTACTCTGCCCTCTCCAAAAGAGAAGCACAACTGTGCGCTGTAGGGCTAACAGTTTTAGGGTAAAAAATTTAAAACTTCAGTAAAAATAAAGACTTACAATAAACAGGAAAAACCAACAAATATAAACCTAGTCCAGTACCTCACCCCTTGGTGCTCAAAAAATATTATATTCCCTTTACCAACATTAAAATGGCAAGGCTGGATGAACAGGGTCACGTGACAGAACATTGGATTTGTCACAACTCTGTCATTTATTAATGGTGGGCAAGTCACTTAGCAGCCTCCATTTCTTCACTGAAAAATGAGAACAATCCTTTGCATGTCATCATGAAGTTCAAAGGAAGTTTACATGAACCCATTAACTTTAAATATTACAAAAATGTAAGGAAAAAGTGAACCTGGGTACAGATGTTGCCCAGCAACAGTGGCTCATCTGTACTCATTATCCAATATAGAATTATTTCCAAGGTATAAAAACACTCTAAATTAAAGGTGTTTCAATCTTGGCCTTTTCTTTCAGCTCCTCCTTGGTAAATGACAGCATTCATTACTGACATCTGTATTAGACCAGCCCTCCTGATAAAAGCTTACCCATCCCTTAACTTACATGCAGTATACAGAAACCAACAAGCCCTCGATGGCCAATTATAACTTTCAGCCAAGTAAGTCCTAGTCAGATTGTGTCAGCACTGCTCTTACCCACACCAAACTCTACTTCTATAAATATTGCTACTACTCTGCCCTCTCCAAAAGAGAAGCACAACTGTGCGCTGTAGGGCTAACAGTTTTAGGGTAAAAAATTTAAAACTTCAGTAAAAATAAAGACTTACAATAAACAGGAAAAACCAACAAATATAAACCTAGTCCAGTACCTCACCCCTTGGTGCTCAAAAAATATTATATTCCCTTTACCAACATTAAAATGGCAAGGCTGGATGAACAGGGTCACGTGACAGAACATTGGATTTGTCACAACTCTGTCATTTATTAATGGTGGGCAAGTCACTTAGCAGCCTCCATTTCTTCACTGAAAAATGAGAACAATCCTTTGCATGTCATCATGAAGTTCAAAGGAAGTTTACATGAACCCATTAACTTTAAATATTACAAAAATGTAAGGAAAAAGTGAACCTGGGTACAGATGTTGCCCAGCAACAGTGGCTCATCTGTACTCATTATCCAATATAGAATTATTTCCAAGGTATAAAAACACTCTAAATTAAAGGTGATACCAACCGAAATTTCATCCTCCTCATCTGGTTTCCACTCAGATTCTTCTTCTGTAGGTTCATAAATTGCATTAATGATCTCAAATCGCTGAAATGATGGGGGGGAAAAAAACCTTGCATAAAAATATTGGCATCTGAGCTAAAAAAAAAAGCTGTTTCTCATTAAGGACTCTAATAAATTTAATTAATGCATACAACAATTTGAATTGCTATTATTGATAGTTTTCCCAAATCCTTCTACATTACCATTTTGCAGTGGTTTAAAGACTAAACCACCAGAGACCTAAAAACTAAACCACCTGCAAATTTGTTTTCATTTCCAGGACTTTATTATCTGCTCAAAAAATAAAACAATAGAAGAAAGCATTACCTTGTCAAATAGAGGCTGGTAAAGAACAGCATACTTCCTTTCAAGATCATGGACTTCCTCATAGAATTTGGCTTCTATATGTGCACATTTAACTTGAAGGTTTTTGAGAGCATTCACTCGTCTTTTAACTACCCTAGGCAAGCTGAAAGGTTAAAAAGCACTAGTTACCCAGCTCACAGTAAAGCAAGCGTCACACTTCTTCCATAAAATTGAAACTGAAGCATAAAAGTTAGTGTATGATAGGTTTCCTATTTGAAGTAAAAGGTATATTCAAAGTAATTAAAATTCAAGAGCTTTATTTAATACAAGGACTTCTTGACTACAAAATATTTCAAAAGTGGAAATTTAACCAGTACACTAAATTGGTAAGAAAATATAAATCACACCATGAACCCTTATCTTTCACTGTAGCAAGTTCCAGCACTGGATCTGTCAGTGCCAGCACCTGACGTGTAAAATGCAGCCTATCTTATAAAGTTGAAAGTCATGCACTAACAACCTAACTTGGAGAGTAACAATGATAACCTTGATTTTTCAAAATGTATCATCTCACCTGTATCAGTTATGGTTAGGGGTAAAGGAGGGGAGCCACAATGTGTATTAGGAAAAATGATCATTTTATAGTCTATCTATTTTTAGTCTCTGTATTTAATTTGGAACTTTAAATTATACTAAATGAGAGTAATATATTATGAAAGGATAGGGATTATTCTTAGTAACACCTCTGAGGTAATTCATATTTCACTCCACTCACTACAGATTTTTAAAGGTTATACGTGCCTCACTTATGAGCTCAGTGAAGTATGACTGAACTTATAAACCCCTCTACCAACCAAAAAATGGTCTCTCAAAATTTACCTAACTTTAAGGAATATGTGCAACAGATTTAGACCCCAGGTTAGAATTTCCTGCCATAGACAGACTGTTGTAAATCAAATAATTCTTTTACTTAACCACTATTTTAGTTACTATAATCAAGAGTAAAAACCAAACACCTACAGATAACAAGTTTTTATTTCTTATAATTTAAAAAAGCTTAAATAAATATTCTGTCAAGGTGGTGAAATAGCATGGGTTGATAGCCTCCCCACAACTCTTTATCTCAAACAAAACAAAACAATCAATCCTAGGAACTTTAGAACCAAGAACTATTCCAGGCACACAGACATACACACACCTCATGAGCACTTCTGAGTAAGCCTTAGCTGGTACACAGCATGCTGCTAGTTGGGGAGGGGAGAGGAGAGGATGGTCTGAGTAGGGTAGCTGTGGAGACAGGTCAGGAGCAAGTTTTTTCCAAGAAAGCTGTAAGCTCTGCACCTGTTTTTCAACAATCACCTTGGCCCTTCCCAGAGCCCAGTGCTAGCATTTCTAAGGTAACAGGAAGAACGGTGAAAGCTAGACTGCCTCAAGGCTTTTACAACAGTCCCTCTGCCAGCCCTCCAATCCAGGCACAATGCATTACAACCAAAGGAAACTGCCTCCCCTCAAAGCAGACAAGAATAACTGCCTGGAATTGCCACATATTTTTTAGCCTGAGGAGACTAGAGTTCTCCTAAGGCTACCCCATCCCTTTTCCCTTAAACTCCACAGGACTATCAAAAACCAGAGTCTGATCTTCATTCCTCCCACCATACTGACTACTGGAGTGACTCATGTCACTCAGTGTATCTGAGCTCTAAGGTCAAAATAACTAGACATGAGGGGAATACAAGTTTTATGAAAGATATATTTGTCATCTGAAGCAACATTATTAGACTAAAAAATAATGTAAACATATTTAAGGAGATGAGGGAAGATATTAAAAATATGAAACAAGACTAAGAAATCTAAGCAAGTGGAAGTGTTAAGTATGAAAAATGCAGTAACCAAAGTAACCAACAAATAGGGTAAACATGACAGAGTCAACTAAAGGAGAAGTCCATGATGTTGAACAAGCTCTCCAGAAAGACAGTAGGACAGACAGAAAAGCTTTTGAGATATGGATGACAAAAGTAGCAAAAGCTGAAAAAACAGAGAAGGGAGGTGGGTATTTGAAGAAATGAGAATAATAAATTTCTCAGAATTAAAACCAATGTGAAAATCCTTACTCCAACCCCTAGACATGTTAATATGATTCATGAATATCAAAGACAAAAGAAAATTCTAAAGGTGTTCAATGAAAAGGCAAATAACCTATCGAGGAAAAGGAATCAGATAGACATCAGGTTTCAAAAAAAAAACACCACATGAAAGAAGAAATGAATTTTAAGGTGTTTAAGAACTGTGAGCTTATAATTTTATTATAGTCAAACTACTATTCAGAAATGAAGGCAAAATAAAAATTGCATGAGGTGTATCAGGCTCTAGAAATATGACACAGATAGCCATTTACAGTCATTAAAAATAATTTCTGAGTAAAAGGTATGGGTGGTCAAATAATTAGTAAACGTTATTGTTGCCTTGAAAGAAATAAAGACTAGAGAACTGTATAAACAACACAGACATTGATAAATTTAAAGAATCAACAGAAGTGAATAAACTTCAGTATTAGGTTATGTCACTTTACCATTAACAAAAAAACAGAATGCAATAACTTTAAAACCAGCAGAAGACAGGTTGAACTGTTCAATGGAAAGCAAAAAAGGAAAAAAAAGTACAATAAATTAAAAAATAAGGAACTATGGTAGCAATTAAGTAGAATACCAGTTTCAAGAAATGTAAAGAATTTGAAATTACTAATAAAGAAGCAAACATTCCCACTAGAGTAAGACACAAGGATGGAAAAAGACATGCCAGGTAAATAAAACCAAAATGAAGCTAGGGGTAACTGTCTTAATAACAGACAGAGTTTATGAAAAAAAAAAATACAATATACAAAGGACATTTTACACTGGTAAACTGGAAACAGAACAAGATATATACATCACAAACATGTACTTAGTAATACAGCTTCAAAATCTATCAACCCACAACTAGCAGAATTACACATAAATTACATGAGGATCTTTAACACAGTCCCTCCTAGAAACTGTTCGATTAAGCAGAAATAAAGAGAAGCTGAACAATAAATTAGTAAGCTTGAGCTGTTAATTCCAGTACGTAAATCTGCACACTCAATATGCAAAGAACATCTACAAAAATGGAATACTAAGACCATAAAAGATACAGATTAATTTTTTTTCATCAAATGAACTAAGCATTCAATTAAGGAAATTGGAAAGAATAGAGCAAACCCAAATAAGGAGAGTTCCAAAACCACAAAGGTGAAAGCTGATTTTCTGAAGAGTTTTTCAACTGAATATACAGTTAATTTCTATCTTAATACAAGTTGTTCACAAAAATGGGAGAAAGTAAAAGCAGCCCTAATCGTTTCATTAGGCAACTGAAACCCTGACTCTAAAACCAGGGGATAAAACTACTATCCCCTCAAAGTTTCTCTTCTGCACATATATATGCACATGCAAGCCCACTTCACCAGTTAAGGACCCTATATAAAACATCAACTATGCCAACTCAATGGTGTAATAGTAATATATCAAGATCAAGTTCATTCCAATAATGCAAGGCTAGTTTGATACCTGAAATATGTATTTCCAAAAATATTTAATTGTACTTAATAGATTCTAAGAAAAAGTCAAAAGACCATCATCTGAATTGACACAGAAAAAAAGTCATTAAAAAAAATCTTAAATGGGCACTAACCAAATTTAATGTGGAGATTTTATATACTTTCCCGGCTAAGACTGAAAATAAGACAAAGATTCCCATTTTAAAGGGTAACGTGTAACAGTACCAACAGAAGAGTACCAAAAGTCTTGGGCAATATTATATATTATAAAAAAAGAAAAAAAAAAACCATGAGGTGTACGTAATGGGTAAGATTAGAGCTAAAACTGCTTTACTTGCAGGTAAGATCTTTTGCCTATAGGAGACAAAAAACAGAACAAATAAGTGTACCAATGTTTCTGGATGTAACCATCAACTTTAAAAAAATCAATAGCACCCTTATCTACATCAAGAACAGTCAATCAGAAAATAACAATAAAAAATAAAAAAAAGATACTATTCACAACAGTGACACAACTGAGTATATAGGAATTAACCAAGAATAGACTATGAAGAAAATTTTGTTCATAGGAGACAAAGTACAACCTGAATAAATACAAGAATATGGATGAGACAATGTAATATTAAAAAACATGTAATTATCTACCACGTTAATCTACATAATCAATGTTATTTCCTATAGAAATCCCAGTTTGGTTTTTTTCTTCAAAAGAACCCCAATGAACTTACTGTCAACTATTATGTGGGATAAAGCTCTACACACAGGCCAGCCTTAAGAGTGTGCTCTGTGGAGGGCTGGCAACGAAGAGAGCACCACACAGGCCGGATCTGAAGACATACTACCGTAAAGCCACAGCAAGTGTGACAGACAGAGACAGACAGGACACCAAGGAAATGTTAAGACCACTCAACAGGTGTTTACAATAAACTGACATGCAATAAAGGTGGTATTACAAATGGGGAAAGAACAAACTGTTTTCATGAAGTGCTATAAAAACTAGCTCACTAAAATAGAAAAGAAAGGAACTAGATGCCTATTTATACCAAATACAAAAGTGGACTACGGAGGGATTAAAGACCTTAAAGGTGACAAGTAAAACTGGTCAACAGGAAATGCAGAAAGAAGTAGAAAGGACTTTTTAACCTCAAATACAGTCATGGGTTGAAATACTAAACAAAAACTTGAGGATGTCTCTTCTGTTCAATGAAGGATGCTATGGATAAAGTTAACAGAAATAACACAACAGATTGTTATTTACGAAATCTAAAACTCCTTAAGGAATTAACACCTAAAATACACAAGAACTCCTGCAAAACAAAAAAGATAGTAAGCACCAACAGGAAAAAAGACAAAAGGTACAAATGAGCAACAGAAAAGGCTCAAACTAGAAGACACTCTTGAGAGAAATTAAAGAGGTCACTAACAAATGGAAACTCATCCCATGCTCCTGGCTAAGAATAATTAATA